CTGGAAAGTTCCCTTTGACCCCAAACTGACACAGGAGAGGATGTTCCACTGCGCAAATGGCAGTACTGTCCCCGTGCACATGATGAGGCTCACAAACTACTACAATTACGGTAGCCTGTCACATTGCACACATTCCTCTTGGTTGGACACATTGTTCCAAAGATGACACATCTGTGTACTTAGAGAATTCTCCTTCTCCCTTTAACCAACAGGCGAATTCGTAACTCCTGATGGGGTGGACTATGATGTCATTGAAGTGCCATATGAGGGTGACTCTCTGAGCATGCTGCTGGTGTCACCCTTTGAACCTGAAGTTCAACTGAACATGCTCAGCGCAGATCTGAGCAGCCAGAGGATTCAGCAGTGGAGGGGAGAAATGAGGAAAGTCAGGAGGCAGCTGGCCATGCCCAGGTGAGTTTCTCCAACCATGTAGCTGTTGTACATGGAATGACAACACAATTGCATTCACACTTGTTTTAAATGTGTTTCTCCCTGACCACCTCTGGAAGTGGTTAGGCCGACCGCACCACAGTCTGTCCTCAAACCATCTAGGGTGCATTGAGGACACCTGTACAGTCATGTGTTCAAGTTCTATTGTAATTCAATCACCCAAAACACATTTAATTCTCTGTATAAAGTGTATATGTGTGGCGTATGAGGGTATTTTATTCTTATGCAGTTTAAAACCTTTAAAACCAAGATGAACACTGACGACTTGTGTGTTTTTGCAGGTTTACTCTGAACACAGATGTGAATTTGAAGACTACTCTGCTTAACATGGGTCTGGGAGACATGTTCAACCTGGCTAGTGCTGACTTCACACGCATCACTAGTAAGTTATTTTTGTTTTTTGGTTCATATTGTAACATTTCGTGTTAGGATACACTTATTCCCTATGAACTAGTTGCCTAATCACACCCAGTGGATTAGATGCAAGCAAGACCACACTTTATAATGGAGACCATGTTCTGAGTTGGAAAGATTAAATTAAGCCTAATTTGGATGTATTCAACACTTTGTTGTGTTATTCAGGGAGAATGACTATTCTTGTGGTTAGAAGTCCAATACTGAATAAAGCATATTCAATTCAAAAGTTTTACTATTAATATGTTGTTACTCAAAAGTAAAACTTTTCAAGTGTATACATAAGAACTTAAAAACAAGACAAGAAATACCTCAACAAACCGTAACCTTCCATCTTTTGGTGGCCTCTTGCTTATTCTTTACACCTCTCTGGGGGTAAAAGCTCAAAGTATTCGTCCAGATTAGTTGTATCTGGGGCTTCCTATTCTTATCTCTGTAGTTCTGCATGTTTATGCTTTCAAGTTCCCTTACTACATGTTAGAAACTGTGTTCTTTGTGTGTGTCCTGCAGCAGAGGAAAGGCTGTGTGTGTCGAAGGTCCTCCAGAGAGTAAAGATCGAGGTGAATGAGCGAGGAACCAAGGGATCTGCAGCAACAGGTAGGGTACACACACACACACACACACACACACACACACACACACACACACACACACACACACACACACACA